AAGTTCGCCGGTTAATCTCTAGTTACTAAGTTCGCCGGTTAATCTCTAGTTACTAAGTTCGCACAGCGGGCGTTGACCGCCGGTTTATGTACGCAGAGTGGGTGTTTACCACTGGTTTAATTACGCAGGTCACCGGTTAACCTCTAGTTAAGCGCTCACAGCGGTCGTTAACCTCTGGTTTAAATACGCAGAGCGGAGCGGGGTTGGCCCGCCGGTTTAGGCACGCAGAGCGCCGGTTAACCTCTAGATAACCGTGCGCACAGCGAGCGCTTAACCTCTGGTTCAAGTGCGCACAGCAGGAACTTTACCTCTGGCACAGCGGGCGTTAACCGCTCATTTACATCAAGTATTGCACGGGGGGGGGGGAAGGGGGGTTGACTGCTGGTCTAGAGTCTAGTTACGCAGAGCGCCGGTTAACCTCCAGTTAAGTGCGCACAGTGGGCGTGAACCTCTGGTTCAAGTATGCAGGCTTGCGCCTGGTGTTTTTGGCTTTGCCGACGCCGCTCGCCCGATCTGACTGCGGCGCCGGTGCCGACGGAGGTCGCGCATTTGATGTACTGGCGCGCAAAAGACCGATCCGATACGGAATTGATGTGAAAACGGCTCTAGAGTACTCAAGTCGGGCAAGCGGCAGTGGCTTAAGCTACATTTTCAAGTGGGTAATATGTATTACAGTAGTATGTACGGACCAGCATATTTAGTGGATATATAGTGGGTGTATATTATGCACGTTAGTACATTTAGTTTGTATAGGTATTACTATAAATATTCATATGTATAGTAGGTGAAACTTCATGTAACAGTCTGTTACAGCGCCCTGTTGTTTGTCCTTTTCTCTTCGGCCGTGTGCTCCGGACATTCTCTATGACGATATCCTGTTCCTGTGCTGGGGCGGTGCTTGCATGTGGGACTTGTCATCTGAGATTTGTTTTGTTGCCCCCTGTTCTGTTTTATTTGGCTGTTCCCTTCCTCTTTTCGTTGCCTCTTTGCCTTTTGGCTTTGTGCAAGTGGGTCGATATGACACGGGGGTGGGGGCAGCCGCCGCTCAACCTACATCCACGTGGGCGGCCTTGTACGCAAGAGGTTCTGAACAGGGGGAGTTATAAGGAAGAAGATAAAAAACTGAATTCATTTTTTCTTCCTTTTTTTCTTTCTTTTTTTTCGCATTTGCGCTCTGATACTCTTGTGTTTATATATATTATTATATCATCAAACGGAGCTGACTGGTAAACCCTTTCTCGATATTTTGTCTTTTGTGCAGTGC